GCGATGGAAAATACACTGTTTATCGTGACCACACTAGCGGTGTTCGTTGCCCAAACGACGGATGCACAAAGGCATCCTTTCCCGGCCAACTGCACGTGCAGATACAACCGACTACCATCTAGCTGCGGCAGGATCGATCCTGATAACTATCCTGCCCATAATGACGTATTCCCTACCAATGATTGCCTTCCTAACGTCCCAGCCAAGTACGCAATATATAATCGTTGCCTACGTATGCGTGCGTTAAAATTATTTTTCTCTCCACAGTTACAGAGTGTGTTATCTAACAGATGTAAGAGATTGCACGGATGCTGACGACAATCTGTACTACGGATGCTACCTCCGTGTGGGCGGCCAGAGAGTAGGATACAAGCTAGCCCCTCTGCCAATGACTGGAGGCGAGAACAATGAGAGCCGACAAGTCTTCTTCGACTCCGTCCACAGTATGACCGCTACCAACGCGGTCTGTTTCTACAACGTATCCGTGACAGACACGAGCACGCGTAACTGCTCGGGCGTCGTTCTGGAGAGCGCTTACGCAGTCGGAAGCGGTAGTGATTCCGCGGACGAATCGTCGGAGGATCGCGCTCCGTGCAAGAGTTACGTGAGGGTTTATTACAGCACGGAGTATAGTGGACAGCAGGAAAGACTCGTCTGTCTGAGGGACTTGCCTGGGTTCTACACCTCCGTTCCCGGCGCCACTTCCCTCTTTATCGTTTATTGGACCAATAACGACGTTAACAATAGGGGCACCTCGTTTAGCATGCGAGTACGCTGCATAGAAGACTGATCACATTATCATCATCAATTTTTATCGCCTATAGATTATATTAGCTACTATATATCAGTTTTATCACCAAGATTTTGGCTATCGTAATAATCATCACCATCAATCAACAACAGTTAGTCTTACAAATGCGCAGGCAGCCCACGTGACCACGTCCTCGATTATGCATACGCGCGAAAGGGTCTACTCGTCTCACGTTTCAAAGTGTTGATAATAACATTGGTGACATCTTTTCCAATCCTATAACGGATTACTCCTATAATATATATTATGTAAATGTCAATAATAACATCAGGTGAAGGCTCTTTGAAAAATGTGATTGCTCCTAAAAGAGTTTATTATTTATTACACACACCAACAGGTGCAAATGAAGAGAGAGAGGATGAATAATGAAAAAAAGATAGGGTAGTTTAAGAAGAGATATGAATGATGTAAGACTCAAAAGGAGAATGGGTGCCATATATATATTATGTCTATAAAATCTAATCATGCTAGATACATACAAATCATGCTCAGTGAAATGTTTAACATGCGAATGACCGTACAAACAGTTGTAGCCAATTGAAGAATAGGCAAGATTAACAGAGTCAAAAATTATATACTTGACAACAGGGTTATCACTTTCCATACAGAGAGAGATGAACTTTTCAAAGCGATTTAATATCATGTTATGCAAAAAGAAAATTTTGGCAGTCTTCAAGACAATTGACGTATGGGAATTCGAGGGGAGGTGCCAAATTCTTCGTAATATTTTATTAATTGCGATGTTTTAGAGCATGGTAGGATAAAACGCAGCCATACAGAGAAAGGCAGTATGATTTGAAAAGGTAAGTTAACACAAAAATATCAGAGAAACCAAAAGTACACATCATAGAGTTAGCCTTGCGGTTAATGTCCTTGGCAACTCTAACAATGTCTTCTTGATCGTTAAGGTCAAATGTGACTAAATGGCCCGGATGTAGAACTGTGTTTGAGAAGTTAAGGTGAACACCGTTGAACTCAATAATTGCAGCTGGAACAGGATGAGCGTATTTCCTGAAGCAAATTAGTTGAGTCTTTTCAGTATTGAAAATCAGACCATGTGATGTTGCATATGCAGAACACAATGACAGCATTTTTCTCAGAGCTGAGGCGCAGGGTGCCAACAAAACAATATCGTCTGCGAAACAAAAAACACCAGCAAACATCCATCGCCAACAACAACCCACACCAGAGAGAGACAACTCCTTCAGCAAACTATCCAAGTATACAGCAAAAAGAAAAGGAGACAGAACACCACCTTGACGAACACCATTAGACACTGTCAAACTACTTGAGAGACAGTTATAACTCCACTGGACACTCATCCTTTGCATTGAGTACCATCTTAGGAGAAAGGTTAAGATAGCAGGAGGTAAACCTCTTTTCTCCAACTTTTGAAAGAGAAGACTGTGGTCAACTCTATCAAAGGCCTTACTGGCATCCAAAAAACACCCAAGGACCTTAGATCCACTGTTTATGTAGCGTGAGATAACCATCTTCATAAGGGCAGTACACTGGGTAGTAGATGAAAACCAAACTGTAGTTGATCGCTTCTAAGTACTTTTGTAAAATAATATGCTCGATGACTTTACTTAGAGTGGAAGCAAGTGTGATGGGACGATAGATTTTGCTGCATGATGGATCTTTCCCACTTTTAGGGACAGGAACAATAACACAGTCCCGAACAGACTTAGGCAGGTAGCCGTGTCGAAAACATGCAGTGAAGAAAACAGAGAGGTCATGTGCTATGACTGGACAAGCGTATTATAAATGTTCCGAGAAGAGGCCAAAGCTACCTGATTTTCTGTTCTTAAGGGAAGAGATAGCTTCATACACTTCATCTTCAGACACTGATACCCCACTATAGGCTGCTGAGAAAGAAAATGCCTTATGGGAATTATAATATACAAGTGTCCATTGGTAATATTAACAAGTTTTGAGATCTGCGTCTGGTATGTAGAGGTGGCAGGTTTAGGAGGTGCAGCATGTCATCGTAGCTCATGTCCCATATATTTAGACAAACTTTGCAAGCAAATGTTATTCGAGAGCTTCAACATCTTTCCGGTTGCATGCCTGAGCAGCATACTCTAAATGTGGTCGAATGCATGTGTCAACAACTTGGCAGCGAGGTAGAAAAGCAAGGCAAGGCAAACAAGTCAACTACACCGAGGTGGTGTGTCAGATGCACAGTACGAAGCGTGAAGGTGTCAGCCCAGGTCTGTACAGCACGTATTCACATATATAGGTGTCAGATGTGTTCAGACCATAAAATGTGTTGGTTCACTGTGACTCCCAGGTTGCAGTAGCTTTCAACTTGTAACTAGTTCAATCTGGCAACTACTGGTGAATAATTGATGAAAAGGGAGAAGAGGTCGTCTTTTTCTTGACCCCAGGATACACTTACACTTTGTGGAGCAAGATGCAATTTCTCAATGTGATTTGCTATAGCTGTGATGTCCTCTTGCAACGATAATTATGTAATCACGTGGATCCTTGGTCGGTTTGGTAAGATGGAGATCATCTGCATACAGTGTCATGCATGAGCACCATTTGACAGAGGAAGCTGTGGCTGATGATGATTCTCAACGATTCTGGTAGCTTTTGCTTTCGGGAAAACAGGTATATATCGCTTACCAAAAGGATCGTATATACTCCGTCGAAAGCGTGACCGATTTATGTGAGTTTTATCTACCATTACCAGTAAAACTGTAGGTTCATTTACGAAATCGCGTAAAAGTCGCGTATCCCGTGCGATGATTTCACGGCGTGCTGTGGACGGCTGAGCAACACGCAAAAACTATAGAATGCCATGGTAGTCCCTGTAACTGGTATGGAGCGATTTTGCCTCTACGCGGGTCACGTGAGATTTTAGAGCGTCCACGGACGCTCTGATAGATCTCCAGAAGCTTCAACGCATGCGCAGCTTGGATGACGTTTGCGGATTATGCGCCGATCGTTCCCCTCGCCTCATAATTCGGTGGGCTTCGCACTCGTGGCCGTGCAAGAAGACGCAGTGTCGTTATGGCACCGAGTACTTCCTTTTGCTTCTGCATTTTAGCATTGTTGACTCTGTTCAATCGTGGTCGGTGTGATTGCTGTGAATATTTCTACCATTTTTCATGTATGTCAGTCTCTGAAAAGTATTCGTGTTTACCCCATAAATATTATGTGCAGGGACCTTCGGACCTACCATACACATCTCACTTGAGGGTTCAGCATACCTGCGCATAGCGGCATCCGAGATTGCTCCTTACGCCTGCAATGACTATGGTGTTTATTGGGAGATATTGAGAGCTGACGGTGAAACTGAGGTTTATACTGTAGCAAACCAAGATGAGTACCATTATGGAACACATGAAACTCTTGAAGACAGGGGGCTGAATTTTGCTGGGTACTGTGACTTTGACTGTGTTCAATGGCTGATAATCACTCCTACTGACATGAGATACAATGGGGCTCAAATCACTGGGGTGGTCAATCTTCCAGGGTGTTATACTGCTACAAACACGACCCATACAACTGTTCTCTCGATTCAAGGTAAATCATTTGGGAAGGGTTGGTAGGAAAATTGATGATAACTTGGCAGGATAAGCATTGACTAGCTGTAAGTTTCGAGGAGAGGTTTGTATATAGCTACCCAACCTCGGTTAGGCAGTTACTCATTAAAAGTCAGTTGGACTATTAAACAATGTCGTAATTAACCCTCAGGTCTGCTGGAGGCTCCCACAGATGTACACTATACGGCCAGTAAAGACAGTGTCATAATGTCATGGAGTCCTCCATTCACCCTGGAAGGAGTCCCCATACTCCACTACAGTGTCTATATCACCAGTCAGGGAGTCTCAGAACAGAGAAACACCACTGAAACACACATCACTCTGGAGAGACCATGTGCCAGCACCACCTACCAGATCAGTGCATGGAATGAAGTGGGAGAGGGAAATGCTACCAGAAAAGGTAACACAATTTAACACATGCTCATAATTTGAAAACCATCTCATGTGGGGCATAGCTATTGCAGAATTCTTGACAGAGATTGAGGCAGGTGCCAGAGTTATTAGTGACATGATAATTCTATGCAGTGGTTGACATAGAAATGGTTTAATAGAGGAATGCAAAATTGTGTGGGCGAGCAAAGCTGAGCAGTTCGATTTTTCAAGCGTGTTTTAGCGCATAAATCACTTTTAAGAAGTGCAGTGACAAGTATCATAATAATACCAGTGCATAAATATACATTAAGAAGACTAGATGTGATCACCTTGCTCACTAATAAACCCTAATACCATGCATTAACAAAAACTTCATTTCATTCTTCCAGCGTTCTTGACCATCTTTGAAGCAGCTGTAAAAGTTATTAGTGAGCTGTTAAAACCAGGAATATGTCTTTCCTGTTCTTTCTTCTCTGATTCTACTGCTGATGGTTGCACCCTCAAAATCGAAAACGACGAATATGATTTTATTTTCAATGCCACCCGAAGCAATAACCATGATGACAACCTTGTACTACTGGAATGTTTCTCAGTTCCAGAAGGAGGGGAGTACAGTGTCAGTGTCCATGAGATACACTACGGTGTTGTGCAGGAACATGTTAGCACTCAAGTGAACAACATTACAGTTTGGATAAGAAAAGGTATGCCATTAATACCATAGTAGTAAAACTATAATTATGCTTGTCTTTCTAATTAAATATTTCCTTGCAGGTTCCTCTCTGATTCATTCAAATGTTAAACCAGTGATTAGAGGGATATGTACCTCTTGTATTTTTACAAATGACTCAAATGCTAAAGGATGTGCCATAACTCTTCTCAATGATCAGTTTACATTCAACTTCACAATTCCTCGTCACTCATCATATGACATAGCATCACTGGAATGTTTCAAGGTATGGCAATCCGGATCATACCATGTACTGGCATCAGAGATACTAATGGATGGATCAGAGGGCTACAATACACTGGAGCTACCCGATATCACTATAACATTACCATCTGGAAATGACAATTCTGCCAAGCAAGCAAATGGTAGGCTCTTAACCAGCAAGTGTGAGATAATTAATGCTCTTTGTATATAGGCACACCAATAGTTAATGGACTTTCCGCTGTCCTTGGTCTAACACGGATGGGCTTGTTTATAGCTGTTCTACTTGCCGTTATCTTTTTCCTTAAGAGAAGATCAGACACCAAGAGAAATAAAAACGGTAGGCGACATCAATTCCCTAACCTAGAATGGTCTTTTTGCTAACACACAAACAAAAGAATGTGTCAGTGTGTATGTGGTAAAATTTGAAACTCTCCACCACCACCTCCCTCAGACACTGATGGTGGAGACATCATGTATGAACATGTGGAGCTGAGGCCTATCACTGGACAAGATAAAGAGATTGCAGTGGCTCCTAATGCTGCTTATGGCACCGTTCATAGATGAACTAATTAGTGAAACTTGCCTAGACAGTGCTGAGAAAATTTTACAAACTGTTTTATGTTAAAAAGGCCCCCTTAAAAAAACCCACTGCTGTAAACACTTAGCTACCTACATATTGCGTGGAATAACGTGAGATCAATTTTTAGAGAGGTTTAGACAGCTTGCATAATATTGAACCCTGAAACAATTGCAGATAGGAAAGTTTACAGTGGGGAACTGTTTCGATCTAATCTAGTGGCACATCACAAACAAGTACAAATTCAGAAATCTGCCCTTTTCTATTATGAACGATTTGCCGTCTAATGCACACTCAACCATGTAGCTAACTACTTAAAAGCACGCATATCTACTCTCGTATGTTATCTAGATGTGTAGCTAGCTCGTGTCACCCTCTGTGAGCTACTAGCGGGAGATCACAAAACACATACAAATAGCCCAGCCCATCAATTACTGGTAACACGTATGCGCAGTTCACCGAGGGTTTGCACTTTAGTGCTATTCCTTTTTGCGGTATATAACAATTTTCTTTATAGTCCAAAAAGACGATATTGTGTTACATTACGTCTGGAAGTCTATCATAAACTCTTTTACCGTGCAATGCCCAGGGAAGAGTCATGCAATCCATCAACGTTTTAGTGGATAATACATAGCTATGGGCCTTGTGTTTGGCCAAGACCAGGAGAGATGAACTAGTAACATTCCAACCATAGACAGTGTTTGTGTATAATTTCTGCATTTTCCGGCAACTCAAGTGGCTACAGTTTAGCCACTAGAGTAAGTGACTGAGTAAACAGAGTCTCAGTCACTTACTTATATGGGCATGTGTGTGCCCTTCCTTCATACACACACTTTCATAATGTACAATCGTGTTATATACACCTGTGATCTATTTTGAGAATGTTTAAAGGATGAAGTAAAGCATCTTGGTCACATTCGACACTACACACTTGATATTGTGAGAGCTGTAAGCGAAAAAAGCTAATTCCAGGTATTTGTAACATACTTTCGAAATGTTTTGAAACAGTTCTTCAGTCGCAGTTTACTGTCTTTTTCAACTGTTGTTACCACCGTCTCTCGTCAGTCATCCTTACTCGCTTTATGATTTCTAGGCTCGGCGCGCATGCGCAGCGAGGGTTACAGTAGTTGGTTTGTCTGTCTGTGAGTCAGGGTGTGTCGAGGCTTATTCTGGCACCACATGCTACGAGGCTACCTATTAGCGATACCAGCGGCTTTCAGAACTACGCGAGCCTGAAATGTTAAAGGGCGATTTTCCTGAAACGACTGCGTTCGCCGTGAAAAGCCGCGACCTCATCCGCTCGCTCCGACCTGTGTACTTTGGGGGCTCAGGAACTCACAACGAATGGCATGTGTCGACTCCCTCATGCTATCTACCAGCGTAGCTAGCCCGTGTCAGACTCTCCGCGAGCTACTAGCGTGGAGATACGCGTACCCTTGGACCAGCCCATCAATTAGCGGTGTCACGCATGCGCAGTTCCCGAGTGTTTGCATTTGCAGTCACCTAAAGTGTTATAATGATTTTGATATTGGTGTATCATTTCTATTGGTCAGTTGCATTAATCATGGAGTTATTTCACCATTAGAAAATTATATTCATTCTCTAGTTCGTTTCTTCTTTTGTGTCTGTTTTCGTCGTAGGATATGGCCAGTGGCCAAACCAGGATCCCTTAAGCCCCTCTGTGGCGATGGGAGAGTCTAGGCCACTGCTCTATATACTCTTTCTTTTCCATCATTCTCTGTTCTCTTACACTCTCCTGTTTGCACCTATTTTGGTGTAACAATAATAACAATAATAATAATAATAATAATAATAATTAAAAAAATTATAGTAATACAGTGGAACCCCGCTTAACGGACACCCCTCTACAACGGACACCGCGTTATAACGGACAAACTCGCAGGTCCCGATTGTTTTATCGTAGAGTTCCGTACGTTCATAACCCCTCCAGAACGGACACCCCGCTACTCCGTATAACGGACAGTAAAACCAATCCCAAATGCTTTTCAACGTAGAAAAAAAACCCGCATAACGGACAGTTTGCCGCACCCCCTGCCAGCGAATACTAGTAGGCGAGAGCGGGAGCGAGCTAGCACACACTGATTGTATCTGCACGAGCCATCCTAGATTGGAAAAAGGTATTATACAGCCTCGGTCAGGTATCGAAGAGCGCAGCGAATGCCAGCAAATAGACGAGAGTTCTTTCGCTGGCTCTATTTCGAATCGATACGACAGCTAGGCAGCAAAATAGTTCCCTATCACGCAAGCGACGCTGATACAGACGAGCCTCTCTCTGCTCAGGAGTCTCACGGGCACGATGTTCTCTTTCCCTCTCTCTTCGACGACGAAGGGCATCTTCAGGACTGATCATGATTGCGAGAGTACGGAGCCACACACACGCGCGTACGCACGTGTGTACTTACTCACGACACATCAGGCAGCATGTGAAAAGTTTGAAATCCTTTCGGATAAAAAGAGGCGCGGAATATTTTAGCGCGCAATCTTTGACCACTGTCACCATCATCATCATATCATGTTGTAATCTTGTCTAGAGTGTTTTAAGGATGTTAACAGTGAATTAGTGACATAGAATTGTGTAATACTGTATAATCAGGCAAAACCCCTCCATAAAGGACACCCCGCTATAATGGACAAAATGTTGTGGCTCTAAGTTGTCCGCCTTAGAGGGGTTCCACTGTAATAATAATAATAAATACGTACATAAGGGGACAGAAGAAATGGAGACATGTGCTGTTCAGAGGTATTAGTTTTTCTAGAGGGAAACAATTCCATAGTCGAAGGACAGTACAGAAGAAAAAGAATCTTAAGGCATTTCAGCGAGAGTAAGGAACTATAAAAGCATGAGGGATGAAATTCCAAGTTGATAACATGACGGGGTTTACAATGTTCTGTTTTGGGAAATGCATTACTTAAAATGTACATAATGGAAAAAATAATCTCCTGTTTCTAAGTGATGGTACAAAAATAGATCTAGCAAATTCTCATAATGTTGCATGGCAGTCTTTGGCACACATCTATAGTGCAAGTTGTTGTACCTTCTCGAATGTCCTTCTCCAGGTTAGGATTTCATACTTGTGCTGCGCATTCAAGATGCGGGCAAACTAGACCTGTATAATATATAGCTTTAAAATTATTCGTGAGTCGTTAGTATTTTTCGCAATCCTGTGATAAATAGTGCATAACACCCTTCTTGCCTTCTTGCAGATATCATGAATGTGTTGTGTCCAGGAAAGGTTGTGTGACACTGTCATACCTAAGTACTTGTAGTGTTGGACATATTGAAGGGGTTGGTTGTTGAGAGTGATTGTCTGGAATGGGATATTACGCTTATTAGTGAGCAAGATACATTTGAATTAGGTGATGTTGAAAGACAGCATGTTCTCCAGAGACCACTGAAAGAGGCAGTTGATATCTTGCTGCATTTCAACATAGGATACATCAGAGGTGATAGGCTTGTATAACAGCATGTCATCAGTATAGAGTGACAAGGACGACTTTTGAGAGAGATGAAAACTGGTGAGATCAAGGAGAAACTGAGCCTTGCGGAACGCCAGAACGAATTATAGTAGATGTTGGGTGCTCACCGTTCACTAAAACATACTGTTTTCTATCACTGAGAAAGCTACATAACCATTAGAGAATATTTGGTGGGAAACCAATCCGAAACAATAAATTTTTGTGTGGAGCACTATCGAAAGCTTTTCTGAAATCAAAGAATACACAGAGAACATCACACTGCCTGTCAAGAAGAGAGAACCAATCGTGAGTTGCAGAGAGTAAAGCAGTAGTGGTTGATTTTCCCCTTTGAAAACCCAATTGACATGGGATGTAGGTGCAGGTTAGAGCAGATGATCCCAGAGAATTGCATACACAATTTTCTCCAATAGTTCACTAACAATGCTGAGAGTGAGATAGGCCCTGTAGTTAGATGGATCACTTAATCAGCTGACTTTGGAATTGGGACAATAATTGCCATCTTCAACATTTCTGGGAACTTTCCTGATGAAAGGGAGAGGTAAAACAATTGGGCTAAAGGTGAAGAAATGCTTCTGCCTGTGTCTTTCAGCACAAAAGCAGGTATGCAGTTGTAGCCATTGGCTTTATTGACATCATGTTTATTCATGAGGGCAAAAACCTCTTCAGGGGTGACTTCATGGGTTGGCAGGTCAGGGCAGTGATATGATTCTTCAGTGAGTGGCTGCTCCGCAACTAGAAAAAAATGTGTTCAGTAGCGATGCCTTCTTTCTGTGTCTCCTGTAACAGTGTGATTCTCATGTTGAAGAGCTGGAACTGTTTCTCTATTAAGCAGTTTTACAATCTTCCAGAAATCTTTGGAATTATATAGCCATTACCAGTGTGTCAAAATACTCTCTCTTTTTTATTCTCATAAGACCAACAATCTAGTTTCTAAGTTTCTTGTACTGTTGAAAGTGAGCGTCTTTCAATTATCTCTTTGCTTCCTTGAAAATAGTGTTGTTCCTACGAAGAAGCTGGATGTTTTTTTGGTAAGAACATGATCATGTATCTGAATTAGACGGTCAAATAAACATGTCACAGTGCTCAGTTTAGTAAAACTTATTCTAGATGGCACCCAGGTTTTCTAGTAGCGACATTAGATAGTAAACCTGTTTCTACCTAACTCTGACGATCAATGAGTATCGATTCAGAAAAAAACAGCGCATGCGCACAGCGTTTGCCACATCAGTGGGTCGTTCCGCAAATTGCTGTCGCACAAACAACTGTTTGGGCTTGCTGCTGAGTTGCCGTCGTGTCTACCAAATTAAGCAAGTGGAGATGTTAGCAAAAACTGCTCCATTTTTGGTTGTAGCTGCTATTTTGTTTGACGGTGGCCTGTGTTTTTGCTACTGTGATGACTTTTATTACTTCTCATGTTAGTGCACGGATAAACCCCTTGACTTCTATATAAAACTTTTAATGCCTTGATGCAGGGAGTTTTGGGTCCTCAATGGGTGGGTGCAGGTGAACGATGAACAGAGATCTCACTAGCGAGTATTCTCCGTCTACCAATTGCGTAAAAGGGACAAGTATAAACGGTCTGCCTGGCTTCGACAGACTGCTTTGAAGCGTCAACCGCCGTTGGAAGCGGCAGCAGCAGCAGAAATATCTCTCTCCTCATCCAAACGCGCTAGTTTTCCGCCGAGGCCATCTTACTGTACCCACCTTTTCGTGGTAGACAACGCGGGTAAAGCCGGACTAGCGACCGAACTCGCAAATGAAGTTGGGAAAAAATCTGCGCATGCGCAAGGCGTTGCCCTGTCAGCGCGTTGCTCTCGCTCTTGCGCTCCCTGTCAGATCTACTGTCGCGTCCAACACAAGTTTAAGCAAGTCAATAATGTTAGCGAAAGCTGCTACCTTTTGGGTTGCAGCTGTACTTTTGTTCAATGGTGGGCTGTGTCATTGCTACTGTGATGAATTTCGTGACTTCTCATGTTAGTGTACAAATAAAATATAGACTCTCTGACTTCTATAATGCCACCTTGATGCAGGGAATTTTGGGTCCTCCATAAACATCTCACTCAATGGATCAACTACTCTCTATATGGATGCATATCGTATAGATTTTTATGACTGTCAAGAAGCTGAGATTCTTTGGGAGATTGTCAAACCTAATGGCGAGTATGAAGTGTACACTGTAGTCAACTATGATGACTATCGCCGTGAAAGACGTGAGAGTATTACAGAGAGAGGACTAACATTTGGAGGGATTTGCCGTCAACGTACTGAGTGTAATCTCCAACTGACAATAACTCCCACTGATCTGAGGTATAATGGAGCTCAAATCACAGAAATTGTGCGTCTTCCTGAGTGTTTTAACACTTCCAACACTACCTATACCACAACCCTCAGAATACAAGGTGAATTGTGTTATAGCTACCTTTTCATCTGTAGCTAAACCTATATACACCTTATAGGTCTCCTAAAAGCTCCCACTGATGTAAGTGTTGAAGCAGATGGAGTTGATAGCATTAATGTATCATGGAGTCCTCCATTCAACCTGGAAGGAGTCCCCATACTCCACTACAGTGTCTATATCACCAGTCAGGGAGTCTCAGAACAGAGAAACACCACTGAAACACACATCACTCTAGAGAGACCATGTGCCAGCACCATCACCTACCAGATCAGTGCATGGAATTAAGTGGGAGAGGGAAATGCTACCAGAAAAGGTGAGACGGTTGACACAGTAATGGTTACATGTGGAGCATAACATTTTGGATACACTTTCAGCATTCCCAAACATTATGAAAGCAGCCATCAAAGCTATGAGTGAGCTCTCAAAACCTGTAATATGTTTTTTCTGTACATTTTTGGCTGATTACACTGCTGATGATTGTGCAGTCACAATGGAAAACAACAAATCTGTTTTTGTTTTCAATGCCACCCGAAGCAATAACAATGACGACAACCTTGTACTACTGGAATGTTTCTCAGTTCCAGAAGGAGGGGAGTACAGTCAATGAGATACACTACGGTGTTGTGAAGGAACATGTTTGCACTCAAGTGAACAACATTACAGTATGGATAAGAGAAAGTATGCCATTATTACCATAGTAGCACAACTACAATTGTGCTCAATTATTATTTTCCTACCTGATATCACTATAGTGTTAGCCTCTGCAACTGACAATACTGCCAAGCAAGCAAATGGTGGGCTCTAAACCAGCATTCAAATGTGAGATAATCAATGCTTTTTTTAGGCACACCGACAGTAACTGGACTTTCCGCTGTCCTTGGTCTAACACTGATGGACTTGTTCATAGCCGTTCTACTTGCCTTTATCTTTTTCATTAAGAGAAGTTCAACCACCAAGAGAAAGAACAACGGTAGGCGACATCAATTCTCTGAGCTAGAATGTAGTATGCATACATTATTGTACTCTGTGTGTGTGTTTTTGCTAAAAACCAAAGAATGCGTCAGTACATACGTGCTAAATTTATAAACTTACTGAGAATTACATTTTTGCACTTAGTTCAATCTTTAAAACACTTCTAAATTTAGCTCTTATCTACTGCTACATTCCCTTTAAAACATTCTAACTGTTGGCACAGACCCCGGGCCACCAGCTGCTGTTACAACTGCTCCACTGTATGAGAACACTCAACTGCCACCACCACCTCCCTCAGTCACTGATGGTGAAGACAGAATGTATGAACATGTGGAGCTGAGGCCTATCACTGAACAAGATAAGGAGATTGCAGTGGCTCCTAATGCTGCTTATGGCGGGGTTCGACGATGAACTAACAAGTGAAACATACCTGGACAGAGTGTGTGTAGTGCTTAGTATGCTGAAAACATTATACAAAATGTATGTTTATTGTTAAAAAGGCCCCCTTTACAAAACCCACTGCTGTAAACACTTATCTATACGTATTGTGTGGAATAACACATGACCAATTGTTAGGTTTCGACAGAGCACAATAGTCCACACTGAAACAGTTGCAGATAGGAAAGTTTACAGTGGGGAACTGTTTCACACTAACCTAGTGGCACATCACAAACAAGCACAAATATAGACTGTTGCTCTTTTCTATTATAAACCATTTACGGTCCAATGAAGACTAAACCGTGTAAAAGCACGACACCACAGCACTTTTTCCCAAGAGAGTTGCCGTTTTTAGACTCAAATCCATTACACTCTGCAATCAAGGTTGAGTGCTCTTCAACCTGGCCACCTATGACAGTTTGTGAGCAATTTCAGCTTTATAATATGTGACTTGCCAACACCACCTGGGCCACTTAGGAACACATGATAAGGCTCAACTGGCTTGCCCTCTTTCAGTAGCTTTCTTACACCAATCATGATGGAACAAAACAATGGATCTCTGCTGCTCATATAACCCTCTCATATACTCTCTGTGCTGGTCTGCAGATTAGGGCCTGATGTTAGGATACTCTTGTTACCTCGCAAATCTTGTTGGGAAACATCAGTTAGTTGTTCACTACTTTCAGACATTGACTGCATCCTACTTTCTTCAGTTGATGGTACAATGCTGTTACACAAATGCTCAGGCGGTAGCATTTGTGAAACAGCATTCCCTGTGTCATCTATAGCTATCTGCTTTTGTGTATATGCTCTCATTTGCTGCACAATGGGTTTTAACATGTCTATAGTGCTCCTCATAGGTTCCATATCGGCTAGCTTGCTCATCAAACCAGGGATAGTAAAGTATAAGTATTGCTCTAAAAAAAATTGCTAGGGTCTCTTTGCTATATTAGAGAGTCGGTAGACTCTCTATATAGGGATGACACGGGTGAAATCTCACGTGATCCACGTACAAAACGACTAAAAACTCGGGTGAGAATCACTCCCTAGGCCTTCAAAACATACTACGGGCCCATATCTACCTATACATGTCCCCCAAGACCTCATACGCACCTTCAGTCGTCCACGGGAGAATTCGCTCATACGCGACAGAAGTAAAATATACTCAAAATATCTTCTTAGCCTTTTTTACAAAATATCAGAGAGTCGGTAGACTCTCTATATAGGGACGACACGGGTGAAATCTCACGTGATCCGCGTACAAAACGACTAAAATCTCGGTGAGAATCACTCCCTAGGCCTTCAAAACATACTAGCAATAGTCTACGGGCCCATATCTACCTATACATGTCCCCCAAGACCTCATACGCACCTTCAGTCGTCCACGCGAGAATTCGCTCATACGCGATTTCACGATTTTCGTGTCATCATCATATTCTTCATCTTCTTCTTCTTCAGACCCGCTAGCTCCTTACCGGAAGCACTTGAAGCGTTGATTTTTTCACAGAACGTCTCCGAATTTGCCGGAGGTGTGCATGCATATCAAGCGATCGTTTCTTTCTTGCCGCAAGTCACTACGGTAGATCGTTGAGCTCTTCCTCGGTAGTCACTGAACAACGCCATTTGTTGCTAACTCAGCATCAGTGAGCCGCATGCGCCGAGGAGGGCGTTTCCAATGCGGCGCGCGCGCATTTTGTCTCGTAAACCTGGTCCACGAACGAGACTAAGCCAGGACTGGATGCCTTCAGAGAAAACTACTCTCCTGTAAGTCAGTGTGCACATTTGTAAGTGGCTAGCTAGCGTTTTGCTGTTTATTTGCACGAGGAGAAACTTGGCAATCTGCGCCGTGTTACGCGTGCCTTGCCAGGCGCCTTCATTCTTTGTCCCCCAGGTTATAGCTATCATTGTAGTCTGATTACTGAAGCCTGCCTATGAAACCACCCCACCATATGTGCCACAATCTAATTGCATCCTTGTTGGAGACACTACACATACACCCTGCTTCAGGTAGGAGCAGCCCATTAGCTTCTGCTTTCAACAGTTATCTCTACAACACCCATGAACATCAGAGTGACTGAAAATGCAGTGTTGTCGTAAGGCGTGAAAAATAGTGGAAACAAGTGGAAAAATCATTTCTTCAAAATGAAAGGGGGATATAGGGATGGCTTGAAGCACCAAAAAGGAAGAAACAAGGGGTCATTACACAGCAAAGATGCACAAAGCTACATGACACCATCCCTATATCTTTGTGTTATTGTTCACAACCAATCTCGCCCTGCTGACATTTTCCTCCCTAATTGGGAAAGAGCCGCGCTTGCCGTCTCCGTCATTTCCACTCTGCAACAGTTTACCTTGAAGTAAAGTTTAATATGAGACAAAGATATAGGGATGGTGTCATGTAGCTTTGTGCATCTTTGCTGTGTAATGACCCCTTGTTTCTTCCTTTTTGGTGCTTCAAGCCATCCCTATATCCCCCTTTCATTTTGAAGAAATGATTTTTCCACTTGTTGTAATGAGAATGAGCAAATTATAAAAAGATGAATTTTTAACAAACAATGGTTAATGAGTTTAGGGGTCGTTGCCATGGAAACTAGTATGTTGTTTGGTTACCTCTAATGCCTATTCCAAAATTAAAATATGGTAGGTCACATTTTCATTGACTTACAGCATATCATATCACACACATTCCTTGTGGAGATTAATGAGTGCAAGCACTATACTTGGTTGCATAATAATGCAGCATGTATGCTATAACCATAGATAACATAGCCCTATGAAAATCACTAAGGTGTAAACCCTGTCTGAAACGGGCTAGCTGCTATAAAATAGCATTTAAAGCTGCTCTTTGTCCTTGTCGTTCAGAACTTAGCGTATAGCGTACTTAGCAACCAGAGCCCAGAGACCACTCATGGCCTACTTTAACGTGATCTGCAGAGGGAGTATATAGCTACATACAACACTGCCAAAGGCTGACCTGGACTTGAACCTAGCTATGCTTGAGAAGAGTATTTATCTGAGAACATGAAAGACTACACCACTAACAGTTGTACATTACAGGCACTTTGCTGGCTGTTTCTGTAGGCGGCTATAACCTAGATTTTTATGTGCGCCGGCGACAGTATTAGCTAAAGGCCTCAGTGTTTTGTGCTACTATTTATGCCAGTAAGGGAACTCCTCTTGGGGGAGTGGAGAGACCGAAAAAATCAATAGCAATTTAGACGCCGGCAGATTCAGGTTGATCAATCAGATTGCGTAAAAAGTGTTTTCCAAGTGCGTGTTTCCACGGAGACGCCCGCCAAAAATGGCGTCTTCGATAGGGGATGTGGCAAGCTTCCGCGCGGAGAAACTCGCTCTGTCGCTGAGAACTCCACGCAACGACTTCAAGCTCGCTGTATCCGATGCTTCTTTGATGAAAGGCGTCTCTACAATGCAAAAAGAAACTAAAATGAAGACCTTTTATTATTATTATTATTATTATTATTATTATTTCAAGCTTTACAGTACACAATGCGATCTTTAAAATAGGATGCTATAAATAAGAAATGAATGGTAATTATAAAGAAGTGTACTGAAGGAACACCAGTTTGGGAGTGCTGGTGTCCTAAGATGTAGTAACTGAAGAGAAACAGGTTGTTATTGATGTACTGGAACACTTAGCGCATGGGCAAAGAAAGTGAAAAGTGCATGGATTTGTACTCTGAAAGTTGGCTTTGAAGTGATTCCAAAAGAATTGTATGAGATGACGCTTGATAGATTGGAGAGATAGTTTCAAGTTTATCGGAGGGAGAGAGTTCCATAGCCGAGGGAGTCTGTTAAAGTAAAAATGGCCAGCTGCAATTGTTTTAGAAGAAGAGTGTTTTAGCTTAAGATGAGTAGTGCAGCAGGTATTACCTTCGGAAAAGTTTATGCAGGATTGAATTTGAAACGCTTGTGATGTGTCAGGCTCCTTGAATGAAAAACAGAATGTTATGCAGCTCTAATTCCATCATTAGAGGGAGTATTGTCAGAGATAGTCATTGAGGATAAACTTGGACGCACATCGTTGTACTCTTTCCAGAGCAACAATCTCTTTGGAGGTGAGGTCTCCAGATTTGGGAAGCATAGGTAAGTTGAGAGCGGCCGAGAGATGAATACAATCTTTTCTTTGCCAAGATACTGACGCCATTGGAGAATGACCCCTGAATTAGGCCTGAGACTTTGTAGGCCCAAGCAGTGACCATTGTCAGGTGATTGCCCCATTTCAGGTCACTAGATGTCAGGATTCCTAGATCACGATAACAATCAAGGACTTGAATTGGTGAGCTATTGATTGTGATAGTCATGGAGGACACGGGGGTGTTTAGGACAAAGACAGAGTAAAACACATTTGTTTTCGTTGAAATGTAAATTCCACTGAAGGCTCCAGGAAAATAGATTAGAAAGGTCATCAGAGTCAGATTGAGATGAGGCATTCTTGAGACTCATCTGCGTAAAGGAATATGTGGGAATTCCAGACAGACGGAGGAAGGTCATTGACGAATATCAGGAACAGGAGCAGACCCAGGATACTACCTTGTGGAACACCTGAGATAACAGGAAGTAAGTCAGATGTGCATTGATTTACATTGGGATCTACCAGACAGGTACATAGGACCGGAACCACTTCCACATGTTTCTTGTTAGACCAAAAGACCAAGTTCATTGTGAGGCACACTGTCAAATGCTCTCCTATAATCGAGGTAAACAACATCATCAGCTTGCGAGTGGGTGTCTGGAATAGTGTGAACGGTGTGAAGGTCAGTAGTTGTTGCGTCGAGGAATGCTTTGGACGAAAACCAAATTGGCAGGAAGAGATAGATGTGGATATGAATGGTCATAGATCAGCTTTTCAAGGATTTTGGAGACTGAGCAAAGAAGAGAGTTTTGCATGAATAACTTGTCTTCAGACTTGAGAACTGGAATAATCAGGTGCGCACGCCAATCTGAGGGGAGGGAGTGTTGAGACAGACTTAGGTGGTGAGGGGTTTGTACAGTGCAAGAGCACATCGTTTTGAGGATCTAGGACCAATACCACCGATTCCCATGGCCTTTCATGTATCAAGAGTAAATAAAGCCTCATACATATCCAGTTCTGAAATGCCTATATCAGATAGAGCAGATGTAGGGGTGTGCAAATCTTCTATGGGGAGGTATATAGCTGAAAGGTGCTCTGGGTGAAAACTGAATGGAAGAAGTTGTTAAAAAGAGACGCTTTTTCAGAACCACTACTATGAATCCAGTGTGACAATTGAGGGTATTGAGCGGGAGCGAGATGATAGGCCTCTCAAGGTTTCAAGATCTCATCAGAGGTTTGGAAGTCTAGATTGTGTTCCAAGTCAGTGTGGCGTTGACCATGAGTTGTGAGAAAGGTAGGTTTCAGAGAATGGGACTTAGTTGGAGAAGAAGTGTTTTTCTTTGCAGAACAGGCAGGCGCTTAATTCTGTGTCTAATCTCGGATTGACCAACAGGGTAGCTCTCTCTTATACTTCACTTTCACTGGAATGAATAAGTTCATGCCCTGAGTAGGAATTCTTTAGGTGTGACCAGACGCGAGCTCCACAGAACTAGACTGTAGACACACTGAAGTCTAAATCAAGAAGGACAGGAAATCACTTAGCCCTCAAATCAGACATTGGCAAAATTGAACACTAGTTTTGATTCGGGAGGCGATCGAATATTTTGCGGGGCAAGTGGTTGGGGCCGCTGAGCGTGGGGAGAGGCGTGATGCCACTGTGCGGGGGGGGGGTGGGGCAGGGGGGGAGGGGGGGGGGCGTGGGAGGGAGGGGCGGGGGGTAGGGGGCGATGGGGGGGGGGGGGGTGTTGTTGTTGTCGATGTGGTTTGTTTGGGATTGTTTTTTAATTGTTTGTAATTTTTTGTTTGGTTGTGTGTTTTTTTTTTGTCTTTTTTTTTTTTTAATTTCGTTTTTTTTATCGCTTAGGTGTGATGAAGAGGCAGTTTCACTGTGGAAAAGCAGATTCTATGTAGTCAGGAGGAGCAGAGGGGAGGAATTTAACACGGATACTGGGAGACTAGGGCATTCATGTTAGTAAGAAGAATGTCTAAAGATTTCATTAACAGTGTATAGGACCAGAAATGAACTGGGTACGGTTGGTTTCAAACACAAAATCGCAGAACAGCATTGGAAAAGAAAAGAACTACCAGAGAGAGAAGGCCAGCATATATCAGGCAGGTTTAAATCACCGATGATAATAAGGTTGGTTTCGTGTAGTACAAGAGATGTTAGAAAGTTGATCAAATTATCAAAATATTGTATGTTGGGATTTAGAGGGATAACTGTACAAATAGAAACTTGCTTGTCTGGAAGGCAGAGTTTGACTGCTATTACTTCCAAATTGGGAGGATTAGGAATTGTAATACATGGTAGATCTTCATTAACAGCTATGAGCACTCCTCCTCCACGTGATTCTCTATCATTTCGAAAAATGGGAAGTATCTCTTTGTCGTAAATAAAGTCAGAGAGCCAAGTTTCGGCGACACAGATGACATTGTATGGGGAGGAGTAGATAAGAGCTTGGAACTTAGAGATTTTATTGACGAGACTGGTGAATTAAGATAACACTTTCTTTACGGTCGTTTTCTTTGGAGGCATTACACATCAGTCTTATTCACATAGCTAGCTAGACCTCGTCAGCAGCTTCCCCCGGCGAGAGCGAGTCTCGCGGAAGACGGCGGACTTGGACGATTTGACGGCCAGCACGGCCTCCGTCTAAACTGCTTGTCAATGGAAATATGCGATTTAGACGGCCTCGTATATATATATACTTCCGCACACGCGTGTTTCATTTTCGCCGAGGGTTTTCGCTTTTGATCATAAAAAAGCAAAATAGCAAGAAAATTTATACAGTCATGATATTCATGTAATGTGGATGTAAAAAGCATATATAATATCATGTTTCTATGAGAGAGCACACTCGTAGCATTTCCTCCATGAACTGATCCCTATATTTCAGCGCTGTATTGTCAATGACTCCTTCGCCATAATGATAACATTTTTGGCACGGGAACACGATAATGAGCCATAGTCCCACATTCATAGGTACTCTATAAGTCTTGGTATAACCCTGAGAGTTGGCTTGCATATATCGTGAATGCAGAGAGCTGACAGTGCCTCTGGCTTGACAATAATCTTCATGTTCGTGTTCTGCTTAAAGTCCGGCCAGGGAAAACGTCGCAGCCTCACAAAATACTTACGCATATTCATGTACGGACAGGAGTTATTACCATCCATTGTGGTATTAGGAGCAAGTTCTGCTATAAAGTTATTCGAAAACGTGTAACTGGCATATTTCCCCTTCTTCTCCAAAATGTTTAACATGTCTATCCAATTGTTACTTGAAACTGGTATATGACCTCATCAAGATCGCTAAACACGACATATTTCACCCTCCTCATGTTTCTGTACAGACAGTCATTCAGCAGAACACGCTGACCACCATAGTGCAGCTTTCCGTAAAGATTCTCCCACTGTATCATGTCTATGAATCCAGGATACAACTTCAGATTTGCTCCAGTATTCGTACCTGACATTGGATTGTAGATTGTGACAATCTTAGCACCGAGGACCTTTACCATGGCTAGGAAATCAACCATCAATCAAATATCTTCTCATTGGTTAGCTCTGCACCAGTAAAGAGAGCTCCCATGACACACACACCAATGCTGTCTCTCTCCCCAATCTCTCTGTTCCACACTGGAATCGGAGAACTCCATTCTCCTCCACACACTCCACTTCCACTAAGAAGCACATGTGTAGGGATCCTTTCACCAGAACGCATTGTACAGAAGTAGGATTCAGGCCAGACATTGGAGCAATGAGTGGAGTATGAACCAGATTCCAGCACACTTTGTACTGTTGTCTTCGTATACGAACTTGCAGTGGATTTTATCGTGAGTTCGTTTAGAAACATAGCCAAACATGACAATGGGCCGGTCTGTTAGACAACTGTCTTGAATCGTAATAGGCAGAGTAGATGTGGTGTGTGGTTCTATCAGGACCCCTGCTGATCACCACATTTGAAAGTTTGTGAACAACATCTAGTGAGGTCTCTTGAGTAGTTTTGACTGTCTCATGTATAGAGAACTGTAGTAATTTAAAGTAGGATCAGCAGCGGTTACTGTTTCATCATTCCTTTGACTAGTTGTAGAAACATTTCCTTTGCTTGAGAGTCGTAGAGTGACTCTTAGAGAATCCACTCACTTCAGCGTAAATCAATAGTTCCACCAAGATCTAATGGAAGTAGTTTTTCCAAGTATCCTTATAAAATTTAAGAAACAATATGCAGAAGTTAGTAAAACTAGGAACAGACGAACTTTGAACTTGCTATATGAGGTCATCTGTATGATGAAAAAAGAAATGCAGATGGTTTGGATCTGATTGAAACTGAAAGTGAAATGTACAAATCTCTAATAATGGCGTAATGCAGGACAATGTAGACGCTTCTATATAGGGATGGCACGGGCCAAATCTCATGTGATCGCATACAAAACGCCCAGAACCGGCCGAGAAAGGGAGAGCTCTCGCCCTCTCCTTCCTTTTTTTCCCCTCCTCTCCTCTCTCCTTCTTATTTGTTTTCTTTTAGGGCGAGTACTTATTTTTCTTTTATTTTTCCTCTAGCTCTTTTCCTTTTCCTTCCCACCTTTTCGCTCAAGCTCCGTGCCCGGGCCCTCTACTCTCACCTTAGCTTCCTTCGATCCCTTCGACTACCCTCTAACTTTCCCTAATCGACGCATGGAACGCGACCCCAGTCGTTGGCGTAACTTTTCTTTCCCTCTATCTTGTTGCTATCACCCCCCCTACACAGTCTGCCGCTCCCTACTCCCGATAATCCGCCCACTCCCAGCGGGACGATACAGAAGCGACTCAGAAACGGCGCGAAAGCTTGACCCAGCCGAAGGGACTTAGCGGGAGGAGGGGCTGATAGGAAGAGGGGGAATGAGTCGCTAAGATCACAGCCAATAGTATATGCCAATATCTAGCTATACACATGCCCAAATACTTGATACGTGCCATCAGATCTCCATAGGAGAATTCGCTCATACACGATATTCCGATTTTCGTGTCATCATAATCGTTATATTCTTCATCATCTTCTTCTTCTTCAGACCTGATATCTCCTTACCGGAACAAGTTGCAGCCATGATTTTTCACTGAACATCTCCAGGTTCCACAGAGGTGTGCACGGCATCAACCGATTGTTTCTTCATGGTCGCAAGTCCCTACCGATCATCTTTGCTAGACACTGAAACGACGCCATTTCCTGCTAACTCAGCAGCACGGGCAGCGCGACGGTTGGTTTAGTTCGGGCTTTTGGTGTGCCTTACTGCTTTGTAGTGTGTTTCAGTGTCCCTGCTTAACCAGCTTCGTTTTGCTCTGTATAATGAAAAGCACTTGAAAGTGCATAACCCTCGCCACTGTTAATTATGGAGGTTTAATTTCAGCTGTATATTGTGTATTTGGATAACCATAAAGTTACTGTCCATTTCTGTCCATACACTGCATACTGCAAAACTATCCTTTTGTTGTTGTGAAGCATTGTTGGAAGAACATTATCCTGTATTAAACTTTCAATCATCCTTGTCGACATTATTCTGGACATGTGTTTTCAATACTAGTTACTACTACAGCAAAGTGAAAAGCACTTGACATAACCCTCATTCACCACTTTATTTTTTATTTCAACAGCCAATGGCTACTACTACCTGGCTACACTATAGAAGGACAGAGACAAGGGGGCATTTCACAGCTAAGACACACAAATCTACATGACACTATCCCTATATCTTTGTCCTGTTGACTAATAGGGAAGTACGATCAGACAAAGATAATTATAGGGATAGTGTGATGTTGATTTGTGTGTCTTAGCTATGAAATGACCCCTTGTTCTCCCTATATCCCCTCATTTTGAAGAAATGATTTTTCCACTTGTATAACCTTACTATATAAGTGATAATGCCAATGCAGACTCAGCAAGTGGCTTTGGGGGCAAAAAAGAGCATTGTAAAATGCCCAGACAGAATCCCGAACACTACTGTTCGAGACTGCTTTTGTCTTTGGCCTCAGCTACAGTGGAACCCCTCATAACGGTCACCCCTCAACAACGGCCATCTGCGATATATCGGCCAACAGCCCTGGTCCCGATTAAACTTTCGTAGACTTCCGTTGTATGTAAACCCCTGAAGAACGGCCACCTCGATACTCCCTATAACGGCCAGTTGCGCGTTCTCCAAGCGATTGAAAAAACTCTGGCTATAACGGCCACATAGCCGCACCCACAAGGTCACACCCACAAATCACAAAATCATAAAAAACATCATAACTGAGTTGCATTCTCGATCTAATGTCCATCTTGTTTGCTGATTTCTTGCGTATCAGAGCAACTCTTTACTTTGTAGATTCTTACAAATTGTCTCGAGCTTGTGTATGTAGTCCTTCGGTCCAAAAAAGTGATAGCTCTCACAATTTCTAGGCCGTAGCCACCACCTCGATTCACCTTAGAACCTCTCACTTCCGCCAGACATTTGTTTCTAGATCTTCTCAAGAAAGCCGATACAGTAGGAGCGAGGTTAAACGGTACATGTCCAACAATTCTACCGGCTCTCTTGATTGCTACTGCATGAACGTCTTGCGGATTGTCTGGTTCTCTTTCGAGAGGTAATACCTCTCCAGTAAATGGAGACCAAACATCTTGGTAGGCATGGTAGCCTCTAATGTACGAGGGTACACTGAAAGAGCTGAGCTCACTGCCGCTTACTGCCATCAGCAAAGCCCCTAGACTGGTAGGCAGGAATGGGGAATGGGACCATCAACGCGCGTTGCTCGTTGCCACGTGAGCCACTAGCCTGACCACGTGTGTAGTAACAATGGCCTCGTCTGTTTCTGGGCGTTCTGCTGCGAAATCTAAGGCTGCTAAAGCACCTCGAAGAGCTCTCTCTCTCAAGGAGAAATACGATGTCATCGAGACATCGAAGAAGAATCCTGGAATGGCAGCGAGAGCTTTGGCTGCAAAGTTTGGCTGTGGTAGATCCCAGATATAAGGAGAGTATTATTGAACTGTATGAATCAAATATGTCTAGTACAAGTGTGTTATCAAGAAAAAGATTTCGTGAATAGAGGTGAATGAGGCGCTTTTACGCTATGTACTCACTAAAATTGACCAAACCACAGATACAGCTGCTGATATTTCGAAGTCTGTAAATGTTCTCAAAGCAATTCGATGGGTGGCAGAAGGATGGGGTTCAGTTAAGAGAGAGACCATTGTAAAATGCTTTAAAAAGTGCGGCATTATATCTGGTGAATCTGTTGCTCGGATCGGAGCAAATGAAGATCCCTTCGATGATGTCGATGAAGCACGCGAGCTCACAGCTCTTGTTGATGAGCTAGGTTTACATGATTCTGCATGCTCTCCACAAGAATATGTCACCGGTGACGACAACTTACCTGTGTGTGATGATGCAGGTGACGATTGGGATGAACACTTTCTAGCTGGACTTTCTCAAGATCAGGCAGATACTGAAGAGCCGGAGGATCAAGAAGGCGACTCGTATGATCTTGAGCCACCTTCGCCAAAGATCAAAACATACAAAGAAGCTGTATCTGCTATAGAAGACATCCAAGCATTTCTTGACTTCAAAGGACATAATGAATTGTCAACAAAATTGGGAACTCATATAAACAGTATTGTTAGTTTACAATGTGCACATACTTGTAAAACCTCTGTACAAACAACAATTGATGACGTTTTTAATTTTTCATGCACCAGAACACCTAAAACTCGAAACCCCTCTACAACAGCCACCTC